TGTGTGTGTGTGTGTGTGTGTCTGTCTGTCTGTCTGTCTGTCTGTCTGTCTGTGTGTGTGTGTGTCTGTGTGTGTGTGTGTGTCCGTCTGTCCGTCTGTCCGTCTGTGTGTGTGTGTGTGTGTGTGTCCGTCTGTGTGTGTGTGTATCAGCGAGGTGCTTCAGTGTGAATGCTGTGTATGAGTGTGACTGATGAAGCTGGTTAGCGTGTCGTTACTCTGATGGTCTGTCTCTGGTCTGCAGTCGGTGTTCCGCAGCTCTCCGCTGCTCGGCTGCTTTCTCTTCGGTCTGCCGCTAGGCGTCATCAGCCTCATGTGCTACGGCATCTGCACGGCTGAGTCTGACGATGACACGGAGCTGATGAAGAGAGATGGCTTCACGGACGAGGAAGAGGAGGAGGGCGAGGAGGAAGAGCAGCAGCGGCTGACGGCCGGAGCAGAGGGAGAGGAGGACGAAGACGCAGAGAAGATCGAGCAAAAGAGTCCGACTGAAAAAAAGGTGGATTAATGAGAAACGAAGGCCTAGAATCTCCTCACTGGGTTTCATTGGATTATTCGTTTTCTAATTCTTTATTTTCAGAGTTTCCCTAAATGTACGCCAAATTCAAAGTCTTGTTTCTGAAAACTTCAGGAGCACTCTTGGAGCTTCGCATGTGACTGTACTGAGTTACAAAAGCACACCGACGCAAACACTGACTGTTCTAAAGGGGCAGGTCTTTGTGCTTATTAATAATCATTACTGTAATAATGTGCCCTTATGAGCCGTTCTCTATCGTCACTTTAAATCATGCGTGGAGTGCAGCTGAGACGTGCTAAACGACCGATCTCTCACTGGACTCGCTTCCTACTCGCTCTGTTATGTTTTGGATGAGAAAGTGCAGTTACTGTTGATCTAGACTTGATCTCCGGAGGATTGTTTACATGAGATTTGTTACGTTATCAAAGCATAATGACCGCACATGGATGCTTTTCTCCTGCTTGCTTCACAGATGTGATCTCACAGAATGTAGGCGTCTAGTGAAGCTATTCTAGCTTATGATCTGTTTATTTCTCTGTGAAATGATGAAGGAAGGCTTGGGTTTTCTCATATGCACTGAACACATTCACACACAGCAGCTTCAGGTTCAGTTGATGTTTTTAATAGTCTCAGTCCTGGAGAAAACATCATCTTCTGTAGGTGCTACGTTTAACATTAAACAGCAGGTAGGCTCAGTGTATGTGTTTTACAGATATAAGGCTTTATATGTCAGCTGTTCTCAGCAACGATTACCACAATTTACTCCGTAACTGTTAAGTTCATGAAAAATTAAAGATGCAGAACTTTTATTTAGATTCTCAAAACTACAGCAAATCACTGTAAACGGTGTATGTGAGCGATCTTCAGACGAGCTTCATCTGATCTCAGACACGCATCGAGCCAAAGCTGTCCTTACACAAGAACATTGACGAGTGTCTGAAGCTCTTTATGATCACTGTAATGGAGAAACATTGCCTTCACAGTCCCTTCATGATGCCGGCTGTTATTATAGGGATTCTCATGTTTTAACACATAATTGTCTTAATGCTTCTGCTGTGCTCATTAAACGTCCTTCCCTCACATCAGTATCACGGTAGAGTAGACCAATTAGATTCGTGATTTCATCAGTCTGAAAGGTGTTTGTTGGGATTAATAACAGACTGCTGCTTTTGATGAAAGATGCAGTCTCTTTTTATTTTTCCATCACAGATGGTTGTTATTCATAGATATTGATTAGGTGTTAGTGATGTAAGATGTGTCTTTACAAACTTGTTTGTCTCCTGTCCGCATATTTATAAAGGGCCTTTCATGAACAGCAAAGTTCTGCCAAAAACAATTACAGTCAATAAAGAACTCCGTGTTTGACACGTTTTTGTGGAGCTGTAATTCATTAAAAGCCTTGTGTAATTATGACCAGTCATTGTCACATCTGAGTCTTCATGCCGGTCCATCGCTGAAGGACTTGAGCTTGCTCTGTCAGTGTGAGGTCACGGGGTCACCGGAGGTCACGGGGTCAGCGCTGCTGGATCCAGAGGGTGTCTCACTGTATCCGCCGTCTGCTTCTGTTTATTTAAAGTGTTGCTACTGTACATGTAGAAGAGTTTCATAAAGGAGCCAGCTTCTAATGTGAACCCTTTACCACAAGAAAGCCAAAGGCTCGTTACAGAACCTGTAAGTCCAACTTTGAACCTTTTTGGAGGCAGAAGTTCATATTTTAATTTTTTTTTTTTATCTCCAGTGGATCAATCTTTTGTCCAACATATTCTTGGCTCATAGAGTCTGCTGTTTTCAATTGATCACATAACTGTCTTCTCTGAGAAGAAGATATTCTCTTCCCTGAATGAATCCGATGCATAAATAGCAGTCAGTCTTATATTAAGAAAGGGCTGGGTTATGTGAATGAAGGTTATTTTAGCATGCTTGTACAGTCCTAAGACTTGTTCCATGTAATGTTTGTGGTTTCTGGAATCTTTCCATCAAGACAGCAAGAGCATGAAGCAGGTTTCAGGCTTTATTTTAAGCGCAGATGGTTTTAGTCTGGTTTAAGACAGAAACACACTCAGTTCTGGCACATGTGTGCTTATGTTTTCTTACTCTGTGATTTCACTGAAGCCGTTCTTCATTTCACATCAGAAAATGATTCGTTCTTTTCTGGAATGGGTTCTTACACTGATAAACATAGATTAAAGTTTGCTTATATCTGCTTTAGAGTTTCAGAAGAGATCTGAACAGTGACAATCTTTATTCTGTCCACTATTCTATCATTTATGGTGCTATACTTTTACTGTACATCACCAATTCACATTTCTGTCTATTTTTATGTATGAATGAGGTGAAACATCTAAAGCAACGTTGACCATTAAAACACAATTAACAGCACTATTAAAGGGACAGTTCACCCTGAACATGTAAAGGATGACAATATTAATGTTTGGGTGAGCTAAGAGCTATGAGAGAGTGTTTATTGTTGGTGTCCCTTTAAAAGAATTATCAGGCTCTGGATAATTTGATTAATACATGAAACTCATAAGCCAGCATAAGAGCAGAAAACACGAGAGGAAAAACCTGAGCTTGCAGAACAGGACTTATCGGAGAGAAAATAATAATAATAATAATAAAGTACAAAGAGGAGCCAAGATTTCCTGCAGCTCTTGATGATATTTTTAATAAGCATATGCAGTCTGTTCTGTTTGTGTTCAATATGTTTGATATTTCTCTTCCAGCACACAAACACACATGATGCCAGAGGCTTTCAAGTTACACAAATGACCAAAGAACGTCAAGTCACCTTTATTTATACAGCGCTTTTAACAATACAGATTGTGTCAAAGCAGCTTTACAGTATTAAATAGGTAAAGTAGTGTGTAATAATGAAAAACGACAATAGTAAACACATTTTCAGTTAAAGGCAGTTCATCATTCAATTCAGTGATATCATAATCCAGCTCAATTCAGTTTAAATTGTGTGTGTGTGTGAGTGAGAGAGAGAGAGTGTGTGAGTGTGTGTGTGAGTGAGAGAGAGAGAGTGTGTGAGTGTGTGTGTGAGTGAGAGAGAGAGAGTGTGTGAGTGTGTGTGTGAGTGAGAGAGAGAGAGTGTGTGAGTGTGTGTGTGAGTGAGAGAGAGAGAGTGTGTGAGTGTGTGTGTGAGTGAGAGAGAGAGAGTGTGTGAGTGTGTGTGTGAGTGAGAGAGAGAGAGTGTGTGAGTGTGTGTGTGAGTGAGAGAGAGAGAGTGTGTGAGTGTGTGTGTGAGTGAGAGAGAGAGAGTGTGTGAGTGTGTGTGTGAGTGAGAGAGAGAGAGTGTGTGAGTGTGTGTGTGAGTGAGAGAGAGAGAGTGTGTGAGTGTGTGTGTGAGTGAGAGAGAGAGAGTGTGTGAGTGTGTGTGTGAGTGAGAGAGAGAGAGTGTGTGAGTGTGTGTGTGTGTGAGAGAGAGAGAGTGTGTGTGTGTGTGTGTGTGTGTGAACAAACATGAACAACTCTTCCCCTTAAAACCCAAACTCAGCTGGAACCAATCTAACGCTGAACAATTCAAAGAAAACACGAGCAGCTCTGCAATGCTAAAAATGCTGGATGACTTTATGTCCACAGATTTCACTCCAGATACTAACGGGATAAACTCAGCAACATCCAATATTAATTATACGTTTCAAACTTTGGCCACTATATCTAACATTAAACAACAGAACAAACATAGAATAAACAAACAAAAAATAAAAAAGAATATGTGGTTTGATAATGAATGCAATTGTCTCAGAAAAGACCTTCGACGGCTTGCTAACAAAAAGCATAAAGAACCGGCCAATCAGACGCTACGGCTCGCCTACTCCAACTGTTTGAAAAATTATAAAAAGCTCATTTGCAACAAAAGAGATCAATATATGAAGCTAAAATTGATGAAATCGATGAATCAATAGACCAAAACAATTTCTGGAATCTCTTTAAAAAATGTCAAAGCCCCAAATCAGACGCATTCCTCCAGAGCGGCACAGTCTCGAGGTCTTACTTTAAAACTCTTTACCAAAAACTAGAACCAGACCTCAACCAGCCCCAAACTAAAACAAAGAGAAAACTAGAAGATTTGAAAAAAACAATAAACAATTACCAAAACCCACTGGACACAATTATAACAACATCAGAAATAAGAGAACACATGAAAAATCTCAAATCAAAGAAGGCATGTGGACAAGACAGCATCAGCAATGAAATGCTCAAAATCAGCAGCCCTTACATAATTCAAGCTCTGGCTAAATTATTCAATCTGATCTTATCGTCTGGTGACTTCCCTGAGGCCTGGTCTGAAGGACTGATCACACCTATATACAAAAAGGGAGATAAATTCGATCCCAGTAATTACCGCGGCATTAGTGTGGGCAGTAGCCTAGCAAAGCTTTTCTGCAATATAATAAACAGCCGCATAGTGACATTCCTCACAAGACACAACATCCTAAATAAATCACTAATTGGCTTTTTACCAAAACAATGTACATCCGACCACATCTATTCTCTCCACACTCTAATCAACAAGAATCTAAAGGGCAAACAAAGAAAAATATTCATATATTAATGTTTTATTGATTTAAAAAAAGCTTTCGACTCTATTTGGCATGATGGTTTACTATACAAATTACTACAAATTGGCGGAAAAACATTCGATGTTATACAATCCATGTATAAAAACAGTAGATGTGCGGTCAAACTGGGGAATCTGAGAACAGCGTTGTTCCAGCAGAGCCGTGGAGTGAGGCAGGGATGCAGTCTGAGCCCAACACTGTTTAACATCTACATCAACGAGCTGGCAGAAGCTCTGGACCGCTCCGGCAGCATCCCGGGCCTCGCTCTGCACGACTCTGAAGTCAAATGCCTGCTGTATGCAGACGACCTGGTTCTGCTGTCCCCCACGGCCGAGGGTCTCCAGCACAGCCTGGCCCTGCTGGAACAGTACTGTGAGGAATGGGCACTGACGGTCAACCTGGACAAAACCAGGGTCATGGTGTTCCAGAAGAAGGCCAGGTCTCAGAGAAGCAGATACCAGTTCAGTTACGGAGGAGAAGTCCTAGAGCACAGCAGCAGCTACACTTACCTGGGCATCGAGATCTCAGCATCAGGGGGCTTCAGTCTGGCTGTGAAGGCCTTGAATGAGAAGGCCCGGAGGGCTTTTTATGCCATCAAATCACGGTTTGGCCAATTAAAATGACCAATTAAAACATGG